CTTGGTTGGAGTGATGTCGGATACCAAAACATTTCCCCAATCAAAACTCCAAACATCGATAAACTAGCATCGGAGGGAGTGATACTGGATAATTACTATGTCCAGCCTATATGTACACCTACTAGGAGCGCTTTGATGACGGGCAAATACCCTATACATACTGGTAAGATAGTTCAGTAAATACTTCTTCTATATATCTAACATTCATTTTTATTATACGGAATCTCTGCTCGCAGAGTTACATCTATCGTGACAATTATAGAATCTTATGTAATGTAAACATAGCAACTAAYTGAAGATAAGAATACAATACTTTTCAATTTGATTTCCAGTTATTTTTCGCTGCGTCAGCCTAATCATCAGTGGTTGTTATAATGGACTAAATTTATTATAGTTTCGTCCTCATATCTAAAACGCTTGGCGTCACCGAATCGTCCATATAGCTGTTTATCCATGAAACAAAGTCGTGTCGACGGAGAATAATTTTGACAATAACATTGCTCAACCATGGAGATTAAGAAAACATACCATACATTTGTTGTTGTTTTTTATCGCAAAAAAAGAAGAAAAAATCAAGAATATAAAATTCACAAAGATAGCAATCCCCCAGAAAGGGAAGACCTGCAACCGTGACATTTACTTTTATTTGCCATTTGTSACGACCAATCCGAATTTGAGAGTCACGATTATATGAGCTCAAAACTACTATACTGCAAATTTTCGACTTCAATTTTGATAGCTATATACAAACATAATTACAAAATATTACATACAAACCCACAAGTAGCGTAAGGATTCGTGCATCACTTATTCGCAGCAATGAACACCTTAACCCATGATGATGGCACAAGTATGCCGAAGCATTACCTGGAAAGCTGAAAAGTATTACTGATTTGTTGTTGCTGAGTTTTATGCTCACGTCARGTGGTGACAAACTGTATAGTTCCATGATCCCAATAACGCTATAATCGATTCTGATATTTGAAAATGTCAATGGTACATAAAAGTATTTATCATCACATTATATATAAAATACCTATGTTTCTCCATTACGTACATATTCGAGGTTTCTCTTTACAGTGGAAGTAAGAAAGAAGGGTATTTTACGACATATTTGCWTTCATTTTGAATTTGCTTTCTCGTCTTGAAAATCTCTACGTTCTCTACGGTCCGCTACGCTCACTCGTGAGAGATCTTAGACAAAATCCGTTACGATGAAGTATTTGATGAAAATACATGATAGTTTGATGCGGCAAAAGAAGATGTGTGGGAGAGAAGAAAGGGTGAGCTCCTAGAGCACATTATTTTATTATATTTTTATAACTACAGTACTAATGTACACGCTGGATGGACTTTCATCAACTTTTTCAAGTAGAAGAAGTCTATTTCTCTTCGCGTGGTGTTTGCTATATATAGYTCCTTTTCGATTACTTCTCAGTCTATTTTTTTTAAAAATTTTAATATATCACTATTAAATGATTTTCGTCTGTAAGGAGAATTTAGCATTACTGTCCATTGCATCTAAAACCAAACGTACATCCCTCACCAGACACATTGTAAAAGGTCATTAGCAACTCGACCATCGAACGGGTGAAAATTAACATGAGTGGAAGGGTGAGGATGCCTGAAAGGACTTAGGGAATTTATATGTTCAACTCGTACTGTCCCATATGAAAACTTGTAAAATCATTTACTTTTAGGCATGCAACATTTTGTCATTTTGCCACCGGAACCGTACGGCCTGCCCCTAGACCTTGCTTTACTTCCCCAAAACATGAAGAAAGCTGGTAAGTTATAAGTTCATGCACACTGAATTAGAATTTTTCAAAAAACCTTGAAAATATGCAGTTTATATCAACCCGATGTGACGGACCAAGCTCATTTCATTGTTGTTGTTGTTGTTCTAATAAATGATAAATATTTTTCAAGTTTAAATTGTGAAAGTGATGAGAATTGCACTAAAAAACACTAAAAAATGTAAACCATTAATAAATTAATCAATGATGCAAGGATGGCCGAACGGTTAAAACCCGGTCTGTCACCGCTGTTATCCTGGTTCGATCCGGGACTATATGTGATTTGAGTTTGTAGGCTGGTTCTCCCTTGCTCCGAGCGCGGTTTTCTCCAGTCCGCTGTTTTTCCTCCCTCCGTCAAAACCTAGCTGTGAGGAGTGTCGTGTGTAGTAAAATAATGAATGTTGAGGTAGTGAGTGTGAGTGAATATAAAGAGGGCCACAAGCCATAATTTGATTTGGTAACATTTAAGCAAAAGAAGGTGGATACATAAAGTTGTCTTGGTTGTCTTTGATTTTTCTCTAGTCACTTTTGGGTATTCCGCACATGTGACACGTGTTAATTTTATGCTTTGCTTAGGATACGCTACCCATATGGTTGGTAAATGGCATCTTGGGTTTTATGAATGGGAATATACACCCACCTACCGGGGATTTGACACATTCTACGGGTATTATAATGCACAAGAAGACTATTATACCCATGAGATAGAGGGTTTCTTGGACCTACGAGATCAAAAATCGATAGTTAAAGATATGAAGAATGTTTACTCCGCCGATATATTTACAAAGGTATTTCCTAACTTCTTGTGTAATCTACATATAATATCTTTGTCTTTGTTTTCGTACGTTTCCCGAGATATGATTCTTTTAATTCACAAAGATAATMRTGAGCGCTCCAGAGAATCAAACATGTCAGAAAAGAAACAGAGGCTCTGAGAGATGCACTWMYWA